ACATATTCAGGATGATCTTGACTCTGAAAACCCATTGGTTGGGTCATGTAGATCTCTCGATCTAGTTCTCCATGAAGAAAATCATTCTTCACATCCATCTGCCACAAGTTCCAGTCTTTGTTGGCTGCAAGTGCAAGTAAGACTCGTACGGTTGTAAATTTCGCCACTGTACTAAATGTTTCATCATAGTCTAGTCCATACTGTTGAGAGAAACCACGAGCTACAAATCGCGCTTTGTACCTCTCGATTGACCCATCTGGACGACGCTTTATCTTGTAAACCCATTTGCAAGATATGGGTTTCACATCTTTTATCTTTGGTACAATATCCCAAGTTTGATTTTGCTGAAGTGCATCGATCTCTTCTTTCATAGCTGTCATCCACTCAGAACTCTTCGATGCTTCTTCGAACGTCTCAGGTTTCGATGCTTCTTCAATTATGGTTGCATTGGCATATTTGGGATTTGGCCTTCGTATTCTTATTGGCCTTCGGAGTTGAGATTGTGGAATTGATTCTTCTGTTTCACTAGGCCCACATTCTTCGTTTGGTTGTTGATACACGCCAGTTTGCCAAGGATTCTGAGTCACTCTTTGTTCGATATCATCACCATTTGGATCTTCTGATTCATCTGAACTTGTTTGGAGTTGAACAACATGCTCCCCCATCTTTTGTTGTAGCTTGTCTCCAAATTCTCTCTAATCTAGCAATACCTCCTTCTCTGAGGACCACCAAGAAGATGCTTCATCAAATACCACATTTCGTGACGTGTAGCATCTTCTACTAATTGGATCACAACATTTTCACCCCTTTCTCTGGCTGTCATATCCCACAAAGATACATCTAACATATTTCTTGTCAAATTTGCTCCGTAAATGATCAGGAACAAACACATAACATACACAACCAAATACTCGAAAGTATCTAACTGTAGGTTTTATATTCCATAGTTTCTCAAAGGGTGAAACAAATCCTAACCTTGGTTGAGGAAGTCTGTTGATCACAAAGGTTGCAGTCCTCATTGCTTCAACCCAAAACCTTCTTGGTACATTCTTTGCATGTAGCATACTTCGACAAATTTCTGCAAGATGCTAGTTTTTTCTTTCCGCTACACCATTCTGTTGTGGCGTGTTGGCACAAGTGTACTGATGACGTATTCGACATTCCCTTAGGTATTGAGAGAACTCATTTGATCTATATTCTCCTCCGTTGTCTGTGCGCAAGCAACATATCTTCTTTCTCACTTCTCCTTCAGCTGAGTCTCTGAACTCTTTAAACTTTGAGAAAGTATCATATTTTTCTTTCATAAAGAAAACCCACACATACCTGGAGAAGTCATCAATGAATGTTACCATGTACCGCATACCGCTAATTGATTGTTGCTTAACTGGTCCGAACACATCAGAGTGAACCAACTCCAACGGTTCTTTTGCTTTAAACTTCGACTCGTCATATGGTAATTGGTGTGCTTTACCATACTGGCATCCCACACAGACCGTGTCTGTTCTCACGTCTAGTTGAGGAAGCCCCTTAAGCATCGACGTTTTCACCATCACACTTAGCTTGGAATAGCTAACGTGACCTAACCGCATGTGTCATAGATCTGATGTCTCATTTTTCCTTGTCCTGTCTACATATGCAGACTCTGCTGACATCACGTAAATTGATTCCAAACGTCGTCCCTCCATTGTTGGTGTTTCTGAGATTTTGACGTCACGATAAACCTTCACGTCTTGGGGACCAAATAAGACATAATGGCCTGATGATGTTAGTTGAGCCATAGATAGCAAATTTTTCTTCATTCCTAGGATATGGTAAACAGCTTGGAGTTGCATCTGGTTAGTAGTATATCGAGGCGTAACTATTGTCTTACCGATGTGAGTTATCGGTAACCTTGAGTTGTCAACTGTCACCACCACACGACCTTCATTGTACTCAGACAGATTTTGCAACTTCTGTTTGTCACCTGTCATATGATTTGAGCAGCCAGAATCTACGATCCAATCATTCTTGTAGTCAATCCATTCTGGTGTTATTACCGTGAGAGCTAATTCTTCTTCCTCCGTAGCAAATAACGCTTCAGCATCCCAACCATCTTCACTATTCTACTTCGAACAAGAAGTAGCAGTATTACTTTCAACAGGCTTTTTCTTGGTCCAACAGTCTTTTTCCATGTGACCCATCTTCCCGCAGTTATAACACTTGACATCAAACTTTCTACTATTACCGTAATTCTTGGATATTCCCCCTGAATGAGGGCCTCCCTTTCCTTGGTAATTTTTCACCTTGTCACCATCGTTTTTAGATCCACTGCCAGTATACCGCTGAAAAGTGCCTCTGCTTTTGCTGGTATAAAGTGTTTCCTCTTCACCCTTCAGCGAGACTCCTCCCATTTGCTTGGCCATGGCTTCTTGACCTGCAAGCAAATTTTTGAACTCAACAAGCGATGGTTGTGTTGGCCATCCCTGTACAGCGGCAACAAACCCTCGATATTCGGGTCTCAAACCATGGACAATTATTCTTTTTATCATGGCTTCCCCAATAGCAACTGTCGGATCTAATTCTGAAATTTCGCGACATATCGACTTCACCTTGTGAAAGTATTGGGCAACCGCCATGTCGCGTTGTGCCATTGATAAAAGTTCATTCTCGAGAAGTTGCAATTTTGTATCGTTCTTCTTCGAAAAGAGTGTAACAAAAGTGTCTCATGCTTCCTTTGGTGTTTTAGCATCCCGAATGTGCTCCAATATTTCTTCTTCAATTGTGGTCTTTAAAGCAAACATTGCTTTGCCTGCTTTAATTTTCCACTTTCGTAAGATTTCATTGGCATCTTCTGTCGCCGGTTGTGTAACTTCACCACCACTGACAACCTCCCAAAGGTCTTGACCTTGTAAGTATGACTCCATACATGTTACCCACGTGTTGTAGTTTTTGTTGTTGAGCTTCTTGATTCCTCCAACTACTTGAAGATCACCCATCTTAACGGCAAGGCTTTGACTGCACCGAACAAGCTTGAGTTATAAACGTGCATAGTACTAAATTACTCTAAACACAAAGAAGCTCCACAAGGTTTGTAATAACCCCGACAATAACTCAAGAAATATTTTCTGATGTGGAAGATCAGTTAAAAATTGCAGCCACAGAGCATACTCAGAATTTCAAGAGACCTTAAAAACGTGGCTCTGATACCAATTGTAGAATCAAAATAGAGTAAAAACTCTAATTGATTGAGAAGAAGAAAAACTCTTTAGAATAATCTCACAAAATTGCAAAAGGGAAGAACTCTTAAGAAAGCTTTCAAATGCTTATAATTAAGCTTTGATTGTTGGATGATAAAACTCAAATACAAGTAAGGTATTTATAGGTTACAAGAAAGAATCTAAACCACTCATTAAAATAAGCACTAAATAATCTAAACCATTGAAATTAAAACATGAGAAAAATACTTAATTTTCACCTAACTAAATTGATGTAAGCAATGACATCAAAACTAAATTGATGTAAGCAATGACATCAAATTAATTTAGGTACGAACTTATTTAGGCTAATATTGAATTTTCAACAAATCCCTTGGCCCGGTATCAACAATAAAGTTAGGTATCTACAATTTTTCTTGATAGGTGTTTTGAAAATTCAAATAAGTTGAATAGGAATTGATACCCCTATTTAGGTATAGATAAATAAACCCTAAACTACAAATTTTCACCAAGAAATATGCAACAAACTCAATCTCAACATGCCATTGAAGAACCTAAAATGTGCCTGTAACATGCAAAATATTACAAATATGGGCATCAAGCTAAAACAATATATATAACCATACTAAGATAATCAGAGCTCCTTTTTTAATGCACCTCATATAGAATTATATCACAAATTTACATATCAATAAACATTTCAATCATGCATTCAATTAATGGAGAATGACTAAATCATAAAAAATTCAATCATGTGGGACATCATGAAAACAATTAAAAATATCACCATCAAATTATAAAATTATGAAATTTTACTTCTTTGTAATAATATTGACTCCATGGTATCGATACCCTTAGTCTTGTGTTAACACCAAAATTAGATATTTATAATTTCTTTTATTCTATATCTTAAAAAATAAGATAAATTAAAAAGTAATCAATATCCCTATTTAAGTATCGATACCTATATCTTGAAATACAAAATTTTCATATCAAGGCATGCATTGAAACTCAAAATAACACGATATTGCTCATATTCAGTTGTTTTGTGAAGAAAAAACAGCATGTGATATTGCTCATAATCATGCTCAACATGATTGTATAAAGAATGTTGAAGCGGATAGATTTTTCATCAAAGAGAAGCCGGATGAAAAGGTTATTGAGCTGCCAACGATATGCTCGGAATATCAGTTAGCTGATATTCTTACTAAGGCTGCCACCAGAAAAATCTGCCTCAAATTTCATGGCATGTTGTGCATGTACGATATCTATGCACCAACTTGATTCATGTTAGAGATTTCTTCGTTGAGAATTTTGAGATTTGTGTCATGTTTTTTCTTAATAATGTTAGAGATTTCTTCCTTGATTCTCAAGGTTATATATGATTGATAGTTTCCCAGATTGTAATTTGTGTTTCCTTAGTTACTGCTGTAAATCTGATGTAAATGTCTGTAATGGTAGGTTCATCGATGAACCTAGATAAATTCTGAAACTAATATTTATGTTAAACCAAATCAAAATATAAATAATGGGTTTCTAAATCAGACATTAATTTAATCAAACGTATAATGCATGAACTTTTTTTTTTACTAAAAAAGGAGATTGGTATAAGTTTGAGTCAAACTATAAATACATAAAAAAATTTGGAACATGAATTGAAGAAGCATCATAATAGGATGACCAATTCTCATCCAATCATTTGGAAAGCAGGTATTGCATCTCTCGGTCAACCTCCTGGTATATAAACCCTACATCCTCTTCTCTGAATTTGTTTCCACCATCCATAGTTTAAGCCTCCATTTGTTCCGAGCTACATCGCCAAGAAGATTCTCACTTTCTCTCAACCAAGCAATACAATGAGTACTGCCTTCTTATACCCTTCTTCTTCTTCTTCTTCTTCTGTTACTTTTAAAATGATTTTATTTATATTTTTATCTGTTTTGATAGAGGTTGAGAAGGAAACGAGAAAACTTCTTCAGATGGCTGTACAAAGGAGGAGGAGATTAAGAGCGACAATGCACTGCTTGGTGATAGGCTATACAAAAGAAGAAGGTGGCGAAAGGACGGCATCTTTGATGGACAACTTGATGGGTCTGCTACGGATACACGTCAAAAGAGGCGTAAACCTTGCCGTTCGTGATGTCTTAAGCAGCGACCCTTACGTTGTTGTTAAAATGGGCCACCAGGTATTCTCCGCTTCTTCTTCTTTTATGCTTTTTCAATATAATTTTTCACATTAATAACAATGAATTGTAAATATTTGTCGCAGAGACTCAAGACTCGTATGGTAAAGAAGGATGTAAATCCTGAGTGGAATGACGATTTAACTCTGTCCATAACAGATCCTAATATTCCAATCAAACTGGTAAATCTCTTGATCACTATACACCATAACTTGATCCTTAAGGCATTCATTTGTTTACCTGTTTGTGCATGAATTCAGACCGTGTACGACCATGACACATTTACTAAGGATGACAAAATGGGAGACACGGAATTTGATGTTGCGCCATATATAGAAGCCTTGAAAACGCATACCAATTTGGAAGAAATCTCAAGTGGAACCGTGCTATCAAGATTACAACCAAGCACCTCCAACTGCCTGGCTGAGGAGAGTCCCATATACTTGAGCGAAGGGAAGATCGTCCAAGACCTTGTCCTCAGACTACGAAACGTGGAGTGCGGTGAAGTGGAACTTCAACTCGAGTGGATTTACTTTCCAGGCTCTAAAACGTTCCTAAGTCAATGAATGTTTGTTGTTGGGAACTGGATGGCCTCTTAATTACTTTCATGGTGATGCATCCCACTTTTCTCTTGGGAAATCGTCGATTGTTTATCTGAATTGTGGCTAATATACCATGAAATGAGAATGAAGGAATTAATATTCTATTTATTGATACTTTTTTGGACCAAGCAATTTATTGAATTTAAAATAAGTTCCTGATCATCGCTACAAACAAATTATCACATATTGATGGCTTAAAACCGTCACTAAAAAATATTGTCAGTAATTCAATATAGCTCTAAAAAAAATTTAAATTTTAGTTTCCTCTAATGTACTTTTTCTCATTTTATTTGAAAATATTATTATAACAACCTAAAAAATTTAATATCCAAATTGGACCTAATTAATTAGCAGAGAGGTCAAATGGTCATATGAGAGTCATTCTTATATTTAATTTAATTCAACATCTGAGATAAGAGTTGTTCAAATAAATATTAAATTATAGAATTTAAACTCCTAGGTTGCATGTATTAACTCAAAAAGACATTTTGATTAAATATGCAATTTCCTCAATTTTTTTTTACATACGAGTATCGAAACTCACATGTTGATTTTGAAACCCTCGTATCACATCAAAAATTTTAATTTTGACACAACCGAAAACACGATCGCAACCGTAATTTAAATCTTTGATCCACATACATCGTCAACATACCAATAGGTTATGTTGTTAGAAAATTAACAGAGTACGAGTAATTTTCCTATAACCAGATTAGTGAGAATACGAAATAAAAGCGGAAAAATAATACCCGAAATTGATAACGGAGTTCAGCCAATTTTGCTTACGTCTCCGGACTGCTGCAGATCTTTTACTAGAGAGAAAATTTACAGGTGTTTACAAAACACTCACTACTCACAAGAAAGCTCTCTAGTATTGGGAGAAAGAAATGATTTAGGATTTTGGGATGATTTTGAAGCTAAATGAACTAGGGTATTTATAGTTGAAACTTAGGGACTAATCTTTGAAAATACCCTAAAGTGCAATGACTAAAGTGAATTTACCCATTCCTATTTTCAACAAACATCTACCAAACTTTGAAAAACATTTTTCAAAGAAACATTTACCAAACTTTAAAAAATATTTTTCAAAGTTGGTTGCCAAACTTTGAAACTAACTTTTAACAATCTCCCACTTGAAGACTGATTTTAATCTGTCTTCACACCTTGATCAATGCAGCAGTATTTCTGGTCTTGTTTTTCTAGCATGCCAACTGAAGTTGAACACAACTTCAGTTTGTCCGTAGTCACCGTCTTTGTCAACATGTCTGCCGGATTTTGAGCTCCACTAATCTTTTCAAGTTTCAAAAATCTCATCTTTCAGATGAGATCGGATAAAATGATATCTCAATTGTATGTGCTTCGTCCTGGAATGAAAAGACGGATTCTTTGCTATATGAATAGCACTTTGACTGTCGCAATACAAGACATTGTTTTCTTGTTTCTTGCCCAACTCTTCCAATAAACTTTGGAGCCAAACCATCTCCTTGCTAGCTTCCGTAACAGCGACATATTCTGCTTCAGTTGTGGAGAGAGCAACTATCTTCTGTAGTTGAGAAACCCAACTCACTGCAGTTCCTCCTAGAGTATAGACATACCCTGTAGTGCTCCTTCTGATGTCAATATTTCCGGCTAAGTCAGCATCTACATAGACTGTCAATATCGTATCTCCACCTTTGAAACAAAATGCTTTGTTTGTGGTACCTCGCAGATATCTGAGGATCCATTTGACTGCTTCCCAGTGTACATTGCCCGGATTATTCATGTACCTACTAACAGCTCCCACTGCATGAGCAATATCTGGTCTGGTACATACCATGTCATATATCATACTTCCAATTGCTGAGGCATACGGCACCTTTACCATGTGTGCACGTTCTTCCTCCGTCTTTGGTGACTGTTCTTTGGAGAGTCTAAAATGAACACCTAAAGGTGTACTTACTGGTTTAGCATCTTCCATGTTGAACCTGGAGATTATTTTGTTGATGTACTCAGCCTGTGATAACATCAAAGTCCCCGACTTTGTGTCTTTCTTGATCCTCATCCCAAGAATCTGCTTTGCAGCACCCAGTCCTTCATAGCAAACTGCTTCGACAATTTTTGCTTCAAGTGTATTATAATCTCTTGCATGTTTGAGCCTGCAACGAGCATGTCATCAACGTACAACAATAAAATAATGAAGCTATTGTCGAACCTCTTGATGTAGCAACAATGATCTGTTTGGCATATGGTAAAACCACTGCTACCCATGAAGCTATCGAACTTCTTGTACCACTGTCTAGGAGCTTGTTTTAAACCATACAAGCTCTTCTTCAACCTGCATACCAGGTTTTTCTTGCATGCCTCTATGAAGCCTTCTGGCTGCCTCATATTGATTTCTTCCTCCAAATCACCATGAAGGAAAGTTGTCTTTACATCTAACTGCTCAAGATGTAAATTTTCTGCAGCTACAATTTTCAACACCAGTTTGATTGTAGACAGTTTTACAACTGGAGAGAAAATTTTATTGTAGTCAATACCTTTCTTTTGCTGAAAACCTTTGACAACCAATCTTGCTTTGTAGCGTTTGCTCCCATCGTGCTCTTCCTTGATCCTGTAAATCCACTTGTTGTGGAGCGCTTTCTTGTCTGGTGGTAATTCAGCTAATTCCCACGTCTGATTTGACATAAGCGAGTCCATCTCATCTTTCATGGAAGACTTCCACTTGACTGAATCCTCCACCTGCATTGCTTCATCATAGCACTCTGGTTCACCATTGTCAGTTAGCAACAAGTATTGCAAAGAAGGCGAATAACGTTGGGTTGGTTTAGGAATTCTGGAGGAGCGTCTTAGTTTCGGTGTGCCTGGTTCTTCTTGAACTGCTTCAGGACTGATCTGAACATCATTTCCATAAATCTCCTCGAACTCAGCAAATTCCTTTGTTTCAGCTTTGGTATTGGAGCTTCTTGATTCTACAGTTGACATGTCTGTGTCCATCACATTCCATTGAAAATGACATCTCTGCTTCTGATGATCTTCCGATTTTCATAGTCCCAAAAATGGTAGCCGAACTCATCACCACCATAACCAACAAAGACACATTTGTTGGACTTGGCATCAAGTTTACTTCTTTCAGCAGAGTTTATGTGTACATAAGAAATACAACCAAACACTCTTAAGTGTGAAAGGTTTATTTCTTTCTTGCTCCAAACTTCCTCTGGTATTCTGCCATCCAAAGGAACTGAGGTCCCACGGTTGATCAGGTAAGCTGCAGTGTTGATAGCTTTAGCCCATAGAAATTTGGGCAATCCGGCATGTATCCTCATGCATCTGGAACGTTCATTTAGAGTTCTGTTCATGCGCTCTGCTACGCCATTCTGTTGCGGTGTCATGGGAACTGTTGTCTCCATCTTGATCCCATTGTTTGCGCAAAATTCTCTGAATCTATGATTTTTGTACTCTCATCCATTATCAGGCCTCAACCGCTTGACTTTCAGACCAGTCTCATTTTCCATCATGGCTTTCCATTTTCTAAAGGTATCAAAGACTTCTGATTTTTTCTTCAGAAAATAAACCCACACCTTCCTTGTAGAATCATCGATGAATGTGACATAATATAATGAGCCTGCAAGAGATGGAACTGGAGATGGTCTCCATACATCAGTATGAACCAACTCTAACTTTTCAGCCTTGGGTGTCTTACCAATCTTTGCAAAGCTGAATTTCTTTTGTTTGCCAAAGATGCAATCCTCACATAGTCCGACATCTACATTCTTTAGATCCGGCAACTTCCCCTTTGACAAAAGTGTATTCATCCCTTTCTCGCTCATATGGCCAAGCCTTTGGTGCCATAGGTTTGATTTTCCATCAGCATTTGCTACTGCAATGATATTCTCTAAATTTGAGGTTATATAGAGAGTACAAGTTTTCTTACCATGAGCAATGACGAGTGCTCCTTTGGTAATCTTCCATTCACAGCCTGAAAAGGTTGTACTATATCCTTCTCCATCAAGTTGTCCTACAGAAATCAAATTCCTTTTGAGGCCAGGAATATGTCTCACTCCTGTCAGTTTCCAGGTGGTCTGGTTTGGCAGCTTTAATCGGATGTCTCCTTTTCCGACGATCTTCAAGGTTTCATCATCAGCTAGATGAACCCTCCCAAAATCACCACTGGCATAGTTCTCCATGATTTCTCGGGCATGGGGTGGAGTGAAAAGATGCTCCTGAATCCAAGATCCATGATTCAATCGGACTGTTGATGCTTAGAATCATGGCATCACCTGTATCCTCTGTCACGTTGGCAGATTCCTATGCGCCGATATTTTTCTTCGGTGCTCGGCAATCCTTTTTAAAGTGGCCCTTCTTGCCGCAGTTATAACAGGTAAAAATATTTCTTTCCCGTTCTTGATTTTCCCGTTCTGGATTTGGATCTGCCACGATTTGAATTTCTTTCTGAAGTTCTCCCTCTGGACTCCGTGTGCAAGGCTGAGGAGGTTGATGCTTCACCCGATTCTCTCCGTCGAATTTCTTCACTCAATACCAGATCTCGAACATCGTCGAATTTTAATTTGCTGTTTCCCGACGAGATGCTGACTATTGTAACAGTAGCATTCCAACTGTCTGGTAGAGACGATAAGAGAATTAAAGCTCGAGCTTCATCATCGAATTCAATTTCCACGGAACTCAACTGGGTTGTGATTGTGTTGAGTTCATTTAGGTGTTGAGCCACCGATGCCCCTTCTGCTATCCGCAAATTGAACAATCGCCTCATCAAATGAACTTTGTTTGAGGCTGATGGCTTCTCATACATACTGGAGAGAGCTGCCATAAGACCCGCCGTGGTCTTTTCCTTTGCTATGTTGAAAGCAACATTGCGGGATAACGTCAGTCGGATAACTCCGAGGGCTTGTCTGTCGAGAAGAGCCCAGTCTTCATTCTTCATGCCCTCTGGTTGCTTTCCTGAGAGAGGTTGATAAAGATTTTTCTGGTACAGAAAATCTTCA